CTGCAAAATATGACATCACTGTGCCTGATACCTCAGAGAGTTCTTGGTTACCCATCATCCAAGGTTGTAATAAACAGCCACCAAGCAGGTGTCACAGCTGGGCAGTCTAAACTCTCCCACTGGGATACATCTGTCAGATGAAAAACTCTCATAAAAGTGGTTTGCTTGTTACTGCTTTAGGATTTGTTTTTGTTTGGGTTTTTGTTTGTTTGTTTGTTTGTTTCATGGGGGGTTTTATTTGTTTTTTTGTTCCGTGGAAAAAAACCCTCAGAGGAGACATGGAAATAGGTTTTTAGCTGGTGAACTGTAACTGTATTGAAGCTTTTTCATTTTGCATCATACTGCACGCCTGCTGGCAGCAGCAGGATGGTAGAGGTCCCTGCTGGAGATTGCTGGAGTAACAATCAGTCTTTGGAAACACCCTGTTTTAAAAGGTAATTCATTCCTTTAAGCAAATATATATTCTGAATTAAGCATGGCTTTTGAAGTGCCATGTGAACTTTTATTATAACAAAGTCATAAGACAGGAATTTGGCACCAGCTTGCTTTCTCTCCCAAGTGCATGTATCTTCTCTCCAGAGGAACGGTGGATTTCATTCTGAGACCTTGTATTCCCAGAAAAGCAGGTCAAAGTGATTAGATTTCTTCAGCTTTGTTGGATTCACTGCCATAAATATACAAGAAGCTCCTCCACCTTTGGGCTAACACTCCTATGTATTTAAACATGTAATGCACAAGGGGATTTGTTTTGTTCTAGAAAATGGTTTGTTTACTCGCCTGACCCTATTTTGAATGAGTACCCCAAGCAGGGCTGCTGAGCCAGGCAGTCTGCAAATGGGTTTTGTTCTTAAGAAACTGAACCCGTGTGTGGGAACATGCACTGGGACTCAGCAGGAACCTCGGCAGGGACTGTGCAGGACCACATCACTTCCTCCCACTTCCTTGCTCTGCTCCCTCTCTCCCATCAGCCTCCCCACAGCTCATCCCCAGTGGGGCAGCGGTGGCACAGGAGAGCAAGCTTTTGGGGGCTTTCACAGAGCTGTGGGGAGTATAAAACCATAGTGGGCATAAAGAAATCAGCAGCAATCTCTGTTTGTCCAGGCCCAGCTCTTCTAAGGCAGCAGTGACTCCAGCACTCTGCTCTTCCTCTGGCTCACACACCATAATCACACCTTTCTTGCCATACCACGGTCCTTAAAAACACTGGGTAATTCACAGTTTACAGAAGAATAATAACTGATAACTTTTCCATTAAATTCACTTTAAAGTACCTCTTTTAGAGGAACCTGATGGTTTTATCATTATGATTTTAATTATAATTTAAGGCTCTTTCTTATTTAAATACATTTTGACAAAATATCTTCATCCTGATAGGTAAGGCAAGCTCCTGGACATGAGGAAACCTGCTTTGCTTATAAACAGGATAGGACATGACAGATGTCATAAAAGAAGCTGTGCAGGTCATAAACTGTACAGGATTTACAAAAATAGTGTCACCACATTTGTCATAATTCTGTTACCCCATACAATTCTTGTGCTGAGAAAAGTGCTGTCACAAAATACAGCACTGCTAAAAGTTTGCTAGCTTTTTTCCTGTTGGAGATTAATTTACAGTAAGTTAGTAAGGACTGGATTGTATTTTATGCTTATTCTGTGATAGTGTTAATTTCAAAGAAAGCTGTGATAAATTAGTTTACTATGCTTTGCGCAGGAGTACTTTTACTGATTCAGCAGCTTAACTTACTCAAATCAAACATAAACATATCAACAAGCTACTTGCCACGATTTCAACTTAAAATACTATTTCTGTATTTTTAAGACATTGCTGTATTTAAGTCCAACATGTGTGACAAACACACACAAACCAGTGGATGTCACACCTTGCAGCTGAGAGTAATCAGTGTAATTCACAAAAGCATTTCAGCTCTGTCCCTCATCTCGTCTCTCCTAGTAACAAACTAAAATACTGATTTTTGTCTGGCTACACGTCACTTATGATCTGACTTTCATATTCAACAAAATACACATGCAGAACTTGCAGACTGCCTCTTAATGCTTTTTTTTCTGCCTTGTACAGAGCTGGAATGATTTCAAGCATAACTACTCAGAACAGACACTAATGCATTTCAGCTGGCACTTTGTTTTACAGGTTGGTTTGTCTTCAGAAAGGTAATAGTGGAAATTTATACAGCACCCATGGTTAGAGGCAAATAATATTAATAACTATTGGGGTTTCATCAGGCCAGTGTGTGTAAAAGAACTTTTAACAGCACTTCAGCCTCCATTCCATGCCGTTCATTTGAATTGCTAAAACTCAGTGAGCTCCTTATGAAATAGTCATTAAATCAATATGTAAAGATTTGCAGCATGTAAAGACTTTCAAATAGAAGAAACACTATGCACAAAAAAACAAACAATGACATTTTTTAAAAAAAACTGGATACCACAACAAAAAGGTATAAAAATTTGTATTTATATTATGATGAGATAATGATACAACACAGTACTCCGTGTGCTACAGAACGTAGCAAGCGCCATGTACGTGCGTACAAATGAATCTGTATAATACAGTAAAATGCATCTCACAGACTATGAACCACTCCTTTGGCTCTGGGACCCAGAGGCTCTGGCACAGAACCCACTCGTAACACCTTTAGGTAACAATTTCACCAGTAAGCAGCAGAAGGCTCTCAGTCAGTGCTTTACCTGCACCAAAGTTTCATCACTTGAACATCCGTATTGCACAGACCCTTCCAATGCCATAAATCCCGTGTAACCACAGTTTATGCCTCTCGTGCAAAATGGAAGAAAGAAATTCTGAAATTGGGGTGCCTTCCCTCTGCTTTGCCAATGGGCCAGCCTCTGGCTGGCCATGCCTCCCTAGGAATCCTTTCCTGGGATTATTTACAATACTTCAGGCAGAGAGAACAACCAAGGTGACCAAATGGTTTCTGGACTTTTCTGTTTCATATATCCCCTGGATTTTAATTCTGGGTGGTTACAGAACACACTTGAATGTTTTCTTTGCAGCTACCAATTAAGAACAGTGCTTTTAGGCAGTCACTTAAGCAAATTGGCTCATTTCATTGCTGGTGAAATTAATTTCTGGTGTGTTTGCCCCATTAGTATTTGTAGGGAGTACAGCTCTTCCTTAAAGGGTATCTAAAGAGATTCAATTATCCTTCCACCAATTTTGGAAAGTGCAAGTTAGTGCACTGTTACTGGCTCATACCACACAAGACAGTGGCCTCTACCAGTTAAAAAAAAAAAAAACACAACAGGTTTCTGAAAGAGTAATTTGTTTTGCAAACATTCCTTTATCAGTGCCATCATAAAATGAAGTGTATAAAATTAATATTACTTAATTAAAAACTGTGATGATGTGGCTGTTTTCAAAAATATTTCTTCTCCACAGGGCTGCTCTGTGAGGATCAAAAATTTCACCGCTAATTACCAGTCTGCCAAAAAGTTGGTAAAATGGTGAAATAATCACCTGTTCTGGGAGCAGAGACTGCGGTAAGTACCTCCAGGAAAAGCAGAAGTCCCCACCCTGGAGCGGGTCTGCAGGCAGAGCCCACAGTCCCACAACTTCACCTCTTTCCGTTTCTCAGTTCTCCTCTTTTGGCATTTAAGTTCATGTGCTGAATGAAATGGGTACAGTTGGATGCTCAGAATTTTATTTTATTTTTTTTACTTTTAATACTAATGTTGGTGGGCTGTGTGTGGTACAGCTGAATCCATACTCATCCATGTCAAAAAAAGTAACACACAGCCTTAATTCTATAAGTTAGATGCAAGTTGTGTTAGATTTTTATCTTTTTTTTTTTCCATCCCAAAGCTTACACTAATAAATTAGGATAGAAACTAATCTACAAACACCAGATGAAAAACTATCCTTCTCATGGATTTTTAGGGGGCTTATTATTTCTGATTTAATCCAGTAAAACTCTCTGAACCGAGTTTGTCCTTTGCACAAGACAATACAGGATCCAGTCTCTGGTTAACAATGTGTCGAAGAGTTTCTACTCCCAAACCTGCTCTTTTCAGAAGATAAATAAATCAGCTGCAATGGGCCTGGCAGGGTACAAGCTGGGCAGAGAGACTGGATGTGAAGGAGGATTCATCCCCTGAATTACAGTGGAGATTGTGCAGAAAAAGCTAACAATTTTAGGCTGGTTTTTTATGCCTCTCTGTGGTGATGACAGAGTGCACTCCTGGAGCTGGAGGAAGCGCTAATCCAGGAGCAGTGAGGAGGCGCGTATCCTCCCGACACCTGCCTGCTGCAAGGGAAAACCCTTCCTTTCTTCTCCACTCAGGAAACAGGCCAAACCTCCACGTCTCCATAAAAAGAACTTCTCGATGACTTCATCTCTCCAGAGCCCTTTCCACAGAGGAAAAGACCTAGCAGCCCTGTAATCTTGCCTCTGCTCCTTCTTTTCCAATGTGCTAATTGCAGGGGAATTAAGATGAACACTGGTACCTCCTCGCCTGCTAAAAGCACTGTCATGACACAACATGGCAGAGCTGCCGAGGTGGTGGCAGGATTTAATCTTGCAGCCAACAGTTTGCTTTTTGCAGTCATGTCGTGGTTACAGGTACAGTTATGTGCACACACAGATGCACGCACAAATGTCCAGCTTAAAAAAATTAATAACAGTAACACACTTCGCATCCCACGGGGTTACGGCCACAGGTAGCGCTGCACTGGCTGCTCAGCAGCAGGAGAATCGTGTCCCTGAAGGAATGTCAGAGCCCAACTACACCTGTGGGACTGCAGCTCTGCTGGGGGGGCCAGACCAGCCACCAAGCCCGACACTTGGAACTGTTGTGCCATTGCCTCTAACTGGGCTGCTGCTGTCTGGGGAAGCTGTGCCTGAAAATTCCACCTTAAATTAGGCTGCGCTTGAGGGAGAATGACACAGGCAGTATGGTGTCATTTTTCTTTACCAGCATAATAGCTCCCAGCTGTAATAACTGAAAAAGTAAAAACAAATAAACCCTTTTTATTTCCACTCAAGATTATTCGAGTAATTTTTATTGAAAATATAAGATCTACAAAGCCATGGATACCCAGCGTGGAAGAACTCATTAAGTTAGCACATTCATCTTTAAAAGGAAAATTTCAGGTTGACCTAAGGTACAATAATGTTCAATTTAAAGTCTCGTTTTTCCTTCTGTAAGTTTCAAATCTTTTTTCATTCGGAGGTTCTGTGCAAGAGCTGCTTGTCATGAAAGGAAACACTTTACAATCCATGAATGTGTTCATTATATAATAAATGAACAGCAACAATATACTAGCCTTTTTTTTTCCTGTTAACAGTCGTGTGTTAAAGTAAACTCTTTTTTTTTTTTCCATGATTTGGAAATTAGTTACATATGCACCAAAGGAGCTAGTAATTTCTGCTGCTTGTCAGCTACACACAATGAGTATATTGCTGTGTGCTTTCCCCAACAATGAGGATTTTAGTAATATGCAAGGTGTATAGAACGTAATACCAAAACCTGCATCACAGAAAATTGTTAATTGTTTTTTAATTCAGCTGCCAGAGTTGATAACCTTAGGCCCCTCCCCAGAGCCAAAGTAGGGGTGGCCATCCATTAGGTTATGTAAATTAAATGTATGTTTTCCTTGTTGGCAAGTTCCAAGCAGTAAGCGAGAGTGCAAACAAGGATCTGTAAGCTGCCACAAAATGATTTCATATTTCTACCCCGTGTTGTAAGAGCCAAAGGGAGGACACGTATGTCAGATGTTGAAAGAACAACTGAACCTTTGTTTTTGATCATTATGGTCAGTCTGTCATGAGGTCTTGTATCCAAATGCTAAAAATGGCACCACACTTGGACATCCCATAGCCTTACACAGTACGTTCGTGTTTCCTCAGCCACTGAGCGCTGGTCTCACAGAGACCCTGACTTTATAAGCTAACAAAATATAGATTTGGGTGCTGAAGAATCCAAGGGAGGGCTCATACAAAGACAATTAACCCTCGCACCAAAACCTAATGTTATGATTTTACTTAAAGCCACACTGAATCAGTTGTGAGAGGGTGAAGATATAAATACACACCTCTGCTTCGTCCGCAAGAAGGTGGACAACTGACCATTTGAACAGAGGGTCTTGAAACAAAGCTTAGTTGTCCTTTAAACAATGAAAAGGAGAGGCATACATAAATGGTCACCAAGGCACAATATGACAAAGGTGAAGAGTCCCTGAGACTCTGGTCTGGGTCTGTACCATTCCCCTCCCTATACAAGTAAATGAGAACATTTAGGAAAATATAATACAAAATCTCTTACAGGAAATATAGACTACACTTGCTAAAATCACTTCCCTAAAAGTCTTTATAGCTTTTTTCTTTTTTTTTTTTTAATTTTTAATTTTTTTCCTTTTTTTTTTTCCTTCCTTTATTTTTTTTTTAAAAGACCTTCTTTAAACAGGTAATGCAAAGACTGGTCCATTTTTTTCTTACCCGGCAAGCCAAGCTCTAATGACTTCACTAAGCAGAAGTTGTATTAAAATACATCTTCATAGTATTGCTACAAGTTGGGTAAATATGTTCTGAACAGCTTGATGAGTACTAAATAAACTTTGCTGTTTTACAGCATACATTTTCATTTTTTTGCACTTTTTTTTAAGAATAGAAAATGCAATTATAGTGTGCAAAAGAAAAAAAATAATTATCTTCTAGCTGAATACTGTAATCTTAAGCCATGCCTTCCATAAAAATGTATTGACATGTGTAAATAGAAGAAAAGAAAAAAAATACAAGCAAACAGATTTCATTTCCTTGCAAGGAAAGATTAACTATCACAAACTGGATCACTTGAGTTCTGTATTCTTCAGAGAAAGAAATGAAAACAACAACCCTTAAAACCACTGAAATGCTTCAGATGTCATCCATTCCACAATAACAGGTTAAAACTGCCATGTTGCTTTCTACTGCTCCCATTAACATGGATAGAATGATTTGCTGCTGGTTGGATATTGAGTACAAAAAGCAAAAGAAAGTTGAGATCATCCCACATGAAGTCATTATTAGAGCTGGCTTTTCCCCCATTTTGAAGTACAGTAGTGACTTGTAAATACAACCTTTTCTAAAGATCATCTGAGATTTGAAGATTTATCTGCCTGCTTTACCCAAACAACGACTGCTGAAAGAATTTGCTCTATGAAGCCCACTATGCAGCATTCAAAATATTTTGGGGTTTTGGTTTTCTTTTTTCATGAAAAAATACCACAAAAAGTAGTTTTTTGTATCTCTGAATCACTAACACATTGTAGATTCCATTTATTCTTCCATGTTCGAAAAATGGTTTCTGCAAAATCAAAATAACTGTCAAACTCCCTTAGCCATGCTTCCAACAGTTTGAATTTAATTCTTCTTGAATGGAATGACATAATTTATTTCCTTTAATTTGCAGTATGGCTACATCAAGCTAGCTTTAAGTCACAACTGTACCTAACCACAGTTCTCTGCAGCAAACCCATGATTTACAATATCTAATATTGTGGTTACAGTGCAGGGAACCGTGGGTAAGAAACCTCCATGTCAGAGTACTGTGGTTGGGGTTTCCCGGAAGAGTGGCAGTTGACACCTCTGGAATATTCATATATAAGTGCTTCAGTCAGATGGTCCTGAGTTGAACAGGTAACTCAGGCACTATGAGAGCCTGGCATTCAGTCTGCGGGAATGTGTGTAACCTCCGTCACTCGAACCGCTTTGCAAACTGTAGTGGTCTTCAGCATCACTGGCACTTCCAATACTGTCCATTTCACCTGGAGTAAACTCCATTCCTTCAATGTCTACTTCTAAAGAAAACATAAGAAGGCACATTTTCAGAAAGGCAGCAGCTATAGCAAGTAATTATGGGCCAGTGTCAATCAGCGTTCAGGTGGAACCTGAATCATGCTTCATTTTCAGTAATCAAAACAAAAAGAACTGGCACAGTAACTCCTGAGGAAATGATCATCTTGTCCACCTGAGAATTAAAATCCCTTCTGTCCTCAACCACATAAATACACTGCATGACATCAGTACCAAATGCTGTCCCAGAACTGTTCCAACCTGCACATGACACTGATCTAGCAAGAACCCGACCCTCAAAGGCTGTAATACTGCAAGCCCCATTCCTGGTAATTCCAACCCATACAGGTGTTGGCTGGCGAGGACTGTGGCGTGACCATCTGTCCCCAGTAACTGCCCCGAGACCGACCACTCAGCTCCCACAGGCCCTGAAAGAGCCTGGGCGAGTGCTCAGCACAGAAAAACTTCCAAATGGGAAACTAAGAAATGGCGACGGGCAGCTTCAAGAGCTCTGTCTTAAATGAGAACCAAATGCAGAGAACCCTTGGTTGATTGTTACACAGAAGATGCTTTAAAATTTCACAATAAATGATGTGGAATTAATTTATTCACACAAATGAATTAAGCCCAATAAGACTTCTTTTTCCAAGAGAAAATATTATGCCAGCCTTACCAGTAATTACACTAAAAACTCAAAACATGAAATGGTAATTGTTTAAAAAACTGGCAAAAACACACACAGGATAAATAGCTTCAAAAATACACACAGCATTAATAGCTTCAAAACTGATTAGAAAAAAGAACATTTTCCAAAGAATGTAAAAAAGTTGCAGCAGTTTTTTATTCCTCAAATAGCATTATGGAACAATTTTGTCTGGGTTTTGTTGAAAGCTCGGTTTTAGTTCTAAATGACAGTTTCTCGTTCCCCTACTTCCCTTTTCCTTCCTGCTCCTGTGAGTCCCCTTGGGAAGCCCTGGTTCAATTACCTTGTTCAGAGTCAGTGGATATTGTTGATCCCATGCTGTCAGTGCGGATACGCTCCATGCCCTGCACGGAGAGCTGCTCCAATCTGCGCTTGAGGTAGCGGTGTTCCCGCTGTAATTGTTCTTTAATATTTAGAGCTTTTCGGTCCTGTTCTTCCAATTTCTTAAAGGGAGAGGAACACAGTAAGCTGACTGCTTTTACCCACGTTAAAGCAGAAGTAACTTAAGGTCTTCTCATAAACAGTAATTTAAAAGCAATATAAACACTTTAATTCAGTTAAAATGAAATTTAGGAATTTAATTTTTTAGTTAGCATTCTGCAGAGGTCAGTACAGTTTTGGCAGGCTAGGTCACAGCTGAATTTGTCTCACAATAAGATATATGGATGCAGGAGAAAAAATTAATGAAAGAAAAAAATCCCTCAGAGACTCTCCTGCCACTGGCAGATATTCCTTGGCTAGGGCCAAATTATTGTTGCCTTGGTTGTGGGGAATATTTAAATCATTTTATCAGGCAAAACTGGCATCATCTTTGATAACTTGAGTGCAGCTCAGGTTTCAGTGAGAACATAACACCACTTTAGGTGAAATAAGAGACTTATCTATCACCATAAAGGAACCATCCTGAGCTTTTGAATGCTCTCCCTCCTACCACAAGCCATGGAAAATTTTAGTATTTAAAAAGCTTAATAAACAATAAGCAGCATTAATTATATATAGCAGGAGGAATTTACTAACAATTCTCTTTATTCTTAGATTTTTTTCCTTGAACCTCTGCAGAGCAAATATGATAATTCTGTGATATCTCCGACAAAATCAATGGTACGAATCCAAAATTTCTCAGCAAACAGACTGTGAAAGGATTTTTCCACACTACCTAAAATCTCCCCTCTGATAGAATAACAGCAGGTATTAATTTTGCAAATAAAAAGAATACATGCTGCACAGTTGGTCCAAATGCAGTAACAGAAGTAGCATCTTTTAATATTTCAACTGAACCCTCTTCCAAATCACTGATAGCTGGGTTTGACGGTATAATTAGGGAAAAAAGTGTAATGAGTAAGATGGGATTAAAAGCATGAAGGACACACAAATCAAACCACCTTTTATTACTAAAAAAATTATCTAACTGATGCAGTAAATTACAGGTTATAGCAGTAAAAGCACTTATAAGAAAGAGCAGACTTCTCTGTGAGCTGTGTTTACACGACTACTGAGATTTAGGAGATGTGCAGGGAGTGAATACAGCTGCTGACAGTGTCTCTCCGCCATCTGAATGAACCTGGGCTTGGTTTTCTGAGGAGAGCAGGCTGGGACAGTGCACAGCAAACCACAAGCAAACCCCTCAGAGATTTTGCTGTTCCAGTGCAAGCCTGAAATAAAAGCATTTCTCTCTGAAAAAATAACTAACACTCTTAAACTGGGCAGTTTCCTGGCTGAATGAGATCTATGCTCTTCAGCCCCCTCCCAGGCAATACACTCCGTAGAAATGCATCAGAGGTGGATACACAATGTTAAAATAAGAAAAGGGGTTGGTACATCCATGTACACAACAAACCAAATGTGCCCAATTGATCAGATTTCCTCTTCCTGTATTTTCCTGGCTGCAATCCCAAACTCTAACAGCTATTTTAGGAATGAACTCAGTGATTCATATCCAGGAGACTCAAAACTGTCCAATCTTTCAGAGTAAGTTTCAATACATGGGGGTGTGTGTGAAAAGTTCAAAACTAATGACTGTGTTAGAAATGGGAGCCGGGCACAGCCATGCTCTGGCAGTGCAGCGGGGAGGGAGCTGACCTGACAAAGAGGAGCAATTAAGTGCCAACCCAGTTAGGGCAGGTTCAGTTAAAATGTTAAAAAGAAAGTTAAACTTCAGTCTCAGTTTTCAGAAAATGAGTACTTGGTACTGTGCGCAGTGGATTTGGAAAGAAGCTGTTCCTAGCTTTTTTTATCAGCAGCTGAAATGGTAACTACAGGGCTAATCTCTCACACTCGCCACTTGTAAAAACAGTTTTTCAATTTGTATGCATAAGCCCATGATAGGGGGGCAGCCCAAGACAAAAACCACATGCAGTGCCTTTCACGCATGTTAGCCTGAATTATAAACAAGAGGCCAAAATCTCAAATGGTAAAAACAGGGGTTGCCCAGCTGGAGTAAATGTGCTTAGAAGAGCTGAAGAAGTAGCTCTGCAGATCTGTTCACACAAATAGTTTTGCTTAAATTAATCTTTAATTCTTCATATGAATTACATTTCTGTAACTGCAGTGCATCTTAATGATGTACATCAGCAGGCTGTTCTCCAAAATATGCTAAGATTACTGGCAGTGTTCAACCTTTCCTGACACTTTTCTTGACCTGTTTCCCTGTAACACTGAAAAAAATGCCAGATGAGTAATTATAGTCCTGGACACAGCAGCAGAAACCTGTTCTTTAACTTTTACATTTGAATACCTCTTTGTCTTATTTCTGCACATAACCAGGTTCCCTGAAAATGACAGCAGTGAAAATGGGAGTGAAGGTGTCTTTGGAGAGAGGAGGCCTAAGGAGTGATTCACTTTGAATTACCTTTGCCAATGTAGAACCTGCACTGCTGCTGGATCACAGGTGAGATTTTGGGCTGTTTTTTTTGTTTAAAACTTGTAACAAGTGGAGTCAGCAACTAGCAGGAGATTGTATTTAATTTGGGGGTTCATTTAAATGTTTAAAAAATGCTTCAGAACCTGGGTGGATAAGGCTCACTAGTAGCTATAATCCTTTTGACTCTGTTATTTTTTTTCATCATGAATGGATCTGGCTTTTTACATTGAAAGCAATGCAATACAATGTTACCTTGCTCAGTCCTTAAAAACCAAACATATTAATCAACAGCTTTGATACATATATATTATTTTTTAAACTACAGTGTAAATAATTACATTAGTTTGTAACTAAGCAGAAATGACTCTTTTATATATCTGAGACTGCCGGGTAAATTGCAAAACCTTGATACTGTGACTGAAATCCTTGCAACTAATAAAGGCCAATATATCCAGAACATTGGACATATGGATACGGATTTTGTGTGAAAATTAGTTTCCTCTCTATGGATACACATTCTGGAAGATTCTCCTTCAAAAGAAACAAAAACATGCGTGAATGTTTTTACCTTGATATGCATCTTAGCTCTTTTCAACAGACTTAGAGTGGTGTGTCTGGTGCTGTCCGGCCCGAGAGGCACAAGCTGTTTTAGCTGTTCCAAATATAGCCGGAGTTTAGCCCGCCTGCAATCATTAAAAACGGAGAGCGTTGTAGTAGAGTTGCACCCGAACAGCATATCCTACATGCAAACACCATCTGTTTGCAGGATCTCTGTGCAGGACTCGAGTGGCTTCCTTTCCCCTCCCTTTGGCAAAGTTTCAGACTGAAAGGTCACTTGAAATGCAATAATGCTGCTGGCACACTCAGACTGGAGTCTCATACCTGTGTTTCAAAGCAGTCTGCTCAGCCTGGTCAGTCCCATCTCAACCAAGGGGGAGTATGAGCAGAGATCTGAGAATGCCAGGCAAGACTGCACACTCAGCCCATGGCTGGGTAAGGAATTAAAACTGGGATCACACAGTGATTTCTGCAGGCAAAGACAGAGCTGTGGGCAGCTGCAGACCCCAGTTCCCCTCTCCCCATTCCTATCCCTGCCTGCTGCCATAGGACACACTCCTGCTCTGCAAGGCAAGGGCACCCAGGCAGCTCTGCACAACTCAGAGCTGTTCCCAGACGTAGTTTATCAATATTGTAACAGGAAGGTCCTGATGCCCCTTATCTTCCCTTCTACTGACCCACAGTCCCCCCGAGAAGGAGACATTCTTCCTCTCACTGTACAGCATTTATTATAAATACACAAGAGAAAACAGTTCCAGCCATATTCTTCAACAACTGGGTCCTGCTTCCTCTGTTACTGCTTTGCAAGTGTCACTACTGCTGCCCTCAACAATCTCTCCTGTACTGATGACATTAATCTATCAGCAAAAACAGGATGAACAAAGTAGTATTTCTAAAAATATCTCTTTTCCAAATCATCTCTCTTTGAGAAAGAGAAGCTGGCAATACAATAGTCCACGAAGCAGTTGCTTCAACTATCCAAAACAAGGCAGTGGCGAACCAAAGAACCACGTGTGAGTGTGTTTCTACAGCTAAATCCTAAAGAAGGTCTCTCCTGCTCTTAATTCACAATTCTTGAACAGGAATCCACATGGTTCAATGAGACATAAATGGATGCTGAAGCACTTCCACGACCAACATGGCTACTATTTTCCTTTCTCCCAGCCTGTTACAGGCTGAACAAAGCGATGACCTGGAGCTGACATCCCCCCCACAGCCATAAGAATAACTGAAGCAGATCTCAAGGGTGAGATGAATAATCATCTTTTTCAAATCTGCTCAATGCTGCATGAAGGAAACAAACATTGCAGGGAACTCAATGCTTCTGGTCGAGAATGAACTTTCTTTTGAACAGTCAGTTCAGAATCACAACCCAGCATCAGTGTTTGAAATGCAGCTGAAGAGGATTTAATATGCACCAAATGACAAATTACACATGTGTAATTGGAATGATTACGGCAATGTGAAAACAACCTGAAAATTAATGGGGAAAAAACCCAAAGCAAAATAAAATCAAATTTAAATACAGAACAGCGATGACTACACACTCACACATCTAGTTCTAGCTGCCTAAAAATCAGCAATGTATTAGGCAAGAAAGAAAACAGCATCTCTATAAAACTGTCAATTCTTTCTTCAAGCCACTTAGGGAAAAAGGAATATTGCTGAAAATGTGATTCACAGGAGAAAACTAATGACAGACCTTTTGTTTAGGCCTGGGGTTTGTTTTTAAATACAAGGCTCTAAACTTACCCATCTAAATCCTTTCATTTAAACAACATCAACAAAGGCTGGGCTAAGTATTCATAAAAACAGCCCCATCAGATCCCCGAGGCTGCTGCCTTAAACTGGGATATTGATCTTTAAAACAGCGAAATACCCGAATTATATCTGGTATTTATACAGAAAATCCTAATCAGGTAAATTTTTATTCCTGTGCCTGTAATCTCTCACAGCTGCCTGGCCGGGTTTGCATTTTAAATACAAAAACTTGTTTCAGGGACTAAATTCGAATAATCTTTTTGTATTCTAAGTGGCCTCTAAACACACACGCAATCGTCTGCGTCACTCAGCAAAACTTGGATGCAACTGTATTTAGACAGCTGACAAGAAAGTGGGGACTGAAGATAAAGGAGGATATGGAAAGGAACAGGACAAGAATAGTAACGAGGTGGTAAATAAAGAGTTAAATGCATTGAAATGGAATGATCTATATACTTGGAGTAATTAAAAGTCTGATAAGGAATATACAGAGTTGTTGATCTAAGATCTACTTCGTATTAATCCTGGAAAACGTTCATGAAACCAGACTATGTACTCGGCTTATCTGCCACTATTGCTATTTGAGGAAAGTCTGCTTTCCACAGGGAGAAAGTAAGGCTTTAGTGCACATCCTTACCATCGACTGGGGAGGCAACAGAAATATTGCCAGGATTCAGGGGCATGGCTGTATGCCTTTTTAAATCACTAATTCTTTTAGGTTATCTGCCAACCCAGTAAAGCAGGACTTCACAGAAGTGCCATGAAAAACACTGGACTGAAGTTAAGAAGACTATTTTAACTGACCAATGAGAAGAGTTAAAAAGAACTAAATATTAACAAAAATGCTTTAGGCATTCTCAGCAATAATGAGTGATAGCAGTAAATGTAATAAACACACTTGCTGAAAGATCTGCTCTAACTTCACCTTTTTTTCTTTTTTAAGGGACTTTTCCTTTCATCTAGTTACTCAGCATCTATAAATCTGTTAAAGATTTTAAAGCATAAGCTTTACGTAGATCTTTACATAAATGCAGGCATGCTTATGTGACTAATTCATGTATTAGAATCGATGGCATAGATTGTGAACGTACAAAAAGAAAACCAGCCCACCACAATTCCTGTGGTGCTGGAGTAAATATCCCCATGTCTTTCATTTTGCACATCTTAGAAAAAACTGTAATAAGAATGTAAGAAAACATTTCAGGCATGTTATGTTAACAGATCACACCAGCAGGAACAAGGGACTCAAACTTCACAGCAGATAAGTTGTCTCGTACAGACTCTGCCAGCACTAATTTCTCTCTTTTTCTGCAGGGACCTGACAGCTTTTGCTTTTCCTCAGCTGCCTGCGACCACCGGAGGAGGGAAAGGCGCTCACAGAGGTAATCACAGCCGGAGCTGCTTTGTGTTTTGCAGCTCACACCTTAAATTCCACCAAAAAAAATAAGCAGAAAAAGCAGCCTGATCTCAAGAGCAACGGGGTAACAGTCTCTGTGTATGAAGTGTAGTTGAAGGTGGGTAATTACACTGTGCTCCAGCTTCAGACCCCGACTGCTACACCTTCGCCCACACCAAGTGTGGTGTCAGGCCAGGACAGTAGTGCCTACAGAAGTGGGCACTGTTCTCACCTCATGCGGATGCACAAAAATATCCCCCTCGTCACTGGTACTGAATCCATCAGGGAAGGTAGGGATCTAAAAAAATGCCATCCAAAATCCGAATCCTCAAGCCTGCAGCTCTCCATTTTGGATATAGCCCCACGTATGGAGAGGTGCACGGGTGCCCTATCTCTGATTTACCTCACTGTCCTTTGTGCCAGCTGATAAAGGGGTTTCAGACGTTCAGGACTTCAGCGTTTCTCCACGGGAAAGCTCACAACATGGTCCTATCAGTCTGCATTACAGCTCCTCTAATGCTTAATAAGCCCACAGATTGTCCCACTGGAGGGACAAAGCACCGAAACAGTGTTGTTAAGAATTTCCCTGTAGAAGGAGGACATCCACCAGAAGCAAATTTGAAGACCACTCACTGACTCTAGTCCTTGGAGACTCCACTTTGCTCCAGCATCCAGCTGTGGAAAGGCACATTCACCACTTCTCAAAAAAAGGCTGCCCCTAACCAATTCCAAAATTGTGTTAAATGAGTCTATTAAATAATGGTCAAGAAGCTTTGCCACATGTATGAAATCCCAGATGCAAATCCATTTTAATGCACCAAGAAATGGAATACCAAGATACAGAGAAAAAAAAAAAAAGAAACAAAAAAGTCTATTGTTCACCCTGGATAATCTTCATTCCAAGGAAACTGCAACAACTCCAAGAAATTCCTACAACTACTTGACAGGCAGTTGCAATGGGAACAAAATACTTCTCTGTAGGGTCAAATAATACTAGAGGCAATGGCTGTGAATTGTGAGGTTCAGGATGGATATTGGGAAACAAATTTTTTTATTAGGGCAGCAGTGCACAAACAGAATAGGTTGCCCTGAAATGCTGTAGAAGGTAGTCCCTGGAGGTTTTTAAAGATTTACTCAGACAGAGCCATAAACATTCACAGATTTACATTCATGTCTATGAACATGTAAATCAGATTGCCTGTAACGCTGCAGCATTTCACTCACAAGATTCCCATTCGTGTAACAGCAAAACACACACAACTGTGCAACTTGAACCTGCACCACTCTGATTGATACAGTGCTGGCATGTTTGTGAAGTGACCTGATCCACTGTAGCCTTTCCACAGGGACTCTCCAAGGCTTTTTCAGGCCCAGCACTGCAGACAGAAATGGCCTGCAGCCAGTCAGACAGCAGACAGTTGTTCAAGCAGCAGTTGCACAGTTTTCTGACAGCAGCAAAGGTGCATTTCCTAAACCATTCAAGTATAAATCTGCAGACTTTATTTGGAGGCCACTGAGCTGCACAAAGCCAGCTGGAAAGGCAAAGTGCACACCCCAAGCAAGCTCCTCAGTCCTTAGCATGGCATGGCTCAGCCAGGCTGTGGCAACATTAAATGGCCACAGACACTCATGATACAGGGTGACAGTGTCAAGTTGATGTGAAATGTGTGTCTGTCCATCCTGCCACTACAGCTGGGCACCCCATGCAGACAAGCTTCTGACAGCTGACATGTTTATGGTAGGTAGCATAGGGTGGGCACTTCCTTGAAGCTGCAACCAAAGACATAAACAACAGTTCCCGCTGCTGGCATCATGCTCCTGACTGCCAGAGGTCACTTGCTGAAAGTGTCAGAAGGGCTATGCTCATCTGTTTCTGAACATTTGTGGGCAAGAGCATAAAACTCACTAGAGAAAAGTAAAATTCATGACAAGTGTTCACCTTGCACATCCTCCAGGTCTCACTCCACAGCCTCCTGAAATTAGAATAATGACTCTCTCATGTGTACCCATTCTGTGCTGACCCAAAGCTGGTTGTAGAAAGGAAAAAGCAGCTCTATTAGCAGTTTGTCATCCCATGGGAAGTACGAGAACAGTTCCCTTTGGTCCACACCCCCTCCCTCCTACTAGCAGATTGCCCAGTCAAGACATGGAGCTGTCCTGGCCATACCGGGAGGCATCTTAGACCTGCAGCATCTCCAGCTGATGGGCAGCAAGGATCTGGAATGCTAGGAAGTGGACGAAAAGTCACTCAATGTCTGTATTCCCACACTGCCTGCTCTGAATTTCCCTTCCTGCTGGCTCCAGCAGAAGCTGGTTGCATTAGCCATGGTGTTGTTGCTTCAACATCCACAGCCCAAGGTACCTCTCACCGCAGTGCACCACCTTAGCATGTATGAGCATGGAACAATTCTGGCCTCACAAGAAGGCCCTACCTGTGCTTTCTGCAGGGTGCCTTAATGCTAAAAACACTTGTGTGGCTGAACATGTGTCTGTGTTTCAGCTGTCCCAAATTTAGTCTACTAAACTAGCTCTGTGTATGGGAGGTTGACATACTCTCGAATCAACTGCTAAATATACTTGTTTGGTGATGTTCTGAAAAGAAAAGGACACTTACAGATGAAACACTCAAATGACACTGAAAATGCAATCGCTACATGCCATGCTAGTGAGAACAAGAGGCACTTTTGAAATAGATGCAAAAATTAAAAATTCGTCATTTCTGTACGTTAACTGTTTCGGTCCAGAAACCAGACAGAATCAGACCCTATCACAAGGCAAATTTAGGACAAATTTAATACAAACAAAACCCCCACTTCAAAGAATAGAAACATATTTGAAATTGATCTAGAAGAAGGCACTACAAGCTAGACAAGAGTTACTGAAGCATTTCTGATTCCTTTTCTCATGTTTCACATTTTTTTCCACATTCAAACCCATCCTGGTGCTGTGCAATGAAGTTAATACACAAAGGTTTAAATATAGAGCAGTTACTAAATTTTTCATTGTTGCATAATGACTATGTAATCTGGCTTAATAGCGTACATAAGATAAAGTCAGAGAAGAATCTCTGCACCAAAAATTCACTTCTGGAATCAAATGTTCTCCAGGTACATGGTGAACCAAAGTAGTCTGGCCTGAGCCCACAACTCTGGGTCAGAGACACTGGCAGTGAATTAATGGTTATGTTTTCTCCTTAAAGAAACGAGAAAACCAGACATGAAATCCAGCATAAAATACAGAAGTGAACTAATTGTAAGACACTCATGTTTTTACAGGAAGACTCTTCACAGATTTATTTATGAAATGCAAATACCTGCATACAGGGAGCACTCAAGTTTTAGACAGAATCAGCAAACAGAAGCTCAGGATCCTTTGTAACATGCACTGGTCAGGATGAACACAGACAAAATCATTACCCATAAAGTTATCATTATTTCAAAGTTCTTAAGAAATGCAGAAATGCAGCAGTAGAAATTTCCACATTCTGACTTCAGGTTCACCTGCCACCAAGGTAAAATCAGGGTGAGGAACCCTGTCTGCCTTCTGACTCCAGCTTCAACCCTTTCTTACTGGAGCTTGACACAACAAAGCAGCATCTCTTCAGGGGTGCAGCTCTTTTTATTCTGTGCACAGTCACGCTCTACAGCAATGACAGAATTTTCCCGCAAACTGTTTTAATGATATTGAAAATTCAATGTGTTTGTATTATTTTGTATAGCCCTGGATATAATGGCCACACATGTAATGTAGGTAATTATGTAATTATATACCCAACTCTGTTTAGTAGAAGCTGGTACTGAAGCATACTTGCCTTGCTCCTAGTCTTTAAGCTAACACATTTACTGAAGTGTCAGGAATTACATATTTACAGCTCTACAAGACTTTTTATAAGCTACCAAAAATGATTCTGTACTAATTAAAACACATTTGTTTACAAAGCCATTTAAAGAGATTATATATAAACTTCTATCTTAAGAAATCACAGACATTCAATCAGATAAAAATGGTTCTAAAGAAACCTATTTATTAATAGTCCAGACAGCACTTACCATATCTCCAGAAAAATCTTAAATACAATGGAAGATAACAACCCTCACTGCAATATAAAATCCTGTCTCTTCTAGATTTATTTCAGTCAGAAACACTTCCAATACTTTCTCCTCTACAAAGGGTACCTCAAATACTTCTTTTTTTTTCCAAAGGATGCCCCAGCTCACACTTGAGCTGCACAATCTATTTCAACTGCACAACAAATCTGCTGTAGTGAAAAGGAAAGAAAACCTCTCAGTATTAAAGCACTGTACCATAGCAAGGCACCCAGTGTGCCGATTGCTACGAGATGTGTGAAAAGCTCACTCACAGCCTTAAAGAGTCAAACCCAGAGAATTCAGTCGCTCTCTTAACAGCAAACCTCTTGCCTTTTATTATCCAAGGGAAGATAAGCCAAACATCAGTGTTCTGCAATAGATGTAGGGGGGGGGTTTAAGAACAAAATCCTGAAGTTTGCGGTGCCAGTGAAGATTCATCAAAGGTTTGTTCCATGTGGCATTTTTTGCCTGTGTCTAAGACCTCACAGAGGCCTGTGCAACTAAATTCAGCAGCAAAGGCCGGGAAGGCACCGTGGAAACTAACAAGCAGAAGGAGCTGCGAGTGCCTAATTGCAGTGATTGTTAGTGAATTAAATGCAACAGCCCTACAATCAGTGAAACCACCCGCTTTATTTACTGTGGTAACCAGGAGTTTCATCCTCTATATGCTTTTTCAGTGTGCTGAATACTTGTTTGCATCTGTTTTGCTAAACTGAAACCAGCCAGATTGCTTTAACAGCCTTGGTCTTGGGGTACCTCAGAGTATCCAAACACAGGACATCAACCACCTATGAAGGCACAATTGCTGCATCTCTCACCATCACAAGCTTTGAGAGAGTCAGTGCTGCCACAGACTTATCTGCAAGTTTTCGTGGGAATACTGCTCAGAAACGTCTAGAGCTGTTCCTAATGCTAAGGAAGACAGAAAAAAACCCTCTGCTGCCTGTTATACAGCTAATGATTTCCATGTTTTGCACATTTTTATCACTCTGAGAAATATTTTAGTTCTCTTTTACAGTATATAAAAATGCACACTGCAGCACTCACAGTGCATTTTATTTACTTTCACTTGGTGCCACTTCAGCCTACTTGCTGAGCCTAGACTCCACACTTGACTTTTGCCTTTTTACCTTCCAAAAGATGCCACTTGTTCTGGAACATATGCACGGTATCAGAACTTATTCCTACATCGTTCAGTAAACATAAGTTAAGGGAGGCATCTGCAGTGCCTTAAATGTATGCATTTTTGGCCAGCTAAGCCTCTTGGCAGCAGTGCACAGAAAGCTACCTGGGATGCAAGCTGGGGACAGATGAAGAGTGGCTGGTCTCTGAGAGGGAAGCTGCTGACTCCTAAGAGAGGGAATGCCTCGCAGACCTTGCTGTCCACGTTGCCCTCTTCCTCTCTCCCTCCTTTCCCCATCCCTCCAGTAGCACCTTGCTGACTGTAGTGACAGTTGCCTGTCCTAAATTACAAGCACTGGACTACATCAATGTTTCTTCACCTCTCAAAATGCCCAAAGCAGACTTCGATGCACTTTATGCTCTGGTTCCCACCGGAAGGTGAGCTGTGGTGGCCTGTGTACTGCCATGAGGCAGGGACAGCAGCAAAGATGAGGAAATGACAGCAGCTCCTGAGGCTTGCTTTGGGCTGGAATGACCCTGTAAAGCAACACAGACAACACTAGCATGAGAGACCTGACCGGAGCCTCAGCAGCTGGTGCTGGTCAGACTGCCCAGTGCCGTCCCTTCAGGAGTGCACTGACAGCAGAAGCAGACAGACTGATGAGGGTCCCAGAGTCACATCTGACTTAGGCCAGCAGAAGGAATAAAAGCCCTGTGGCACAGTTAGTGCCTGTTGCTGCACTGTTCCTCAACCTTCTCCCACTTGAGCTCTCCTGCTGTGGCAGAGTGAGCACGAGCTGTCAGAGGTGTGTGAGGTGTGACAGAGATGTGTCACAGCACAGTGCACGCTCACCCACGGAGCTAAACTGCCCACAGACCAAGCCAGCAACACAGGAGGCACTCAGAGGAGCACTTGGACAAGGCAGGGCACAGGCAGGCCCATGTCAGCAAGGACTCTGGGGCAGGTGGAGCACCAGCAGCTCTGACTGGTATCTGGTTTACCCACTGGGAAACCATAGCCTCAGGCTCTGCAGTATTAAGAGCTGCAGGACCAACATCTGACCACTCCAATCTTCTCTCCTTGTTTTTTAATAGACTCCTCCCTGCAGCCAGGCTTGTCCTCACAGCTTGCCCCAGGCTTCAGCCATCCCACTGTCTTAAGCTGCTCTTATCTGAAGAGCAGCCATGAAGGGTTTAAAAGCCCTTCCTTGTCCTGGGTCTTGGTGATAACTAAAAGCAACATGCAGAAATTTGAGATGTGCTTCATGGGAAACGTCAACAGGAATTTACAAGCTATACAGAGATTCCCAAAAGCATCATAAGCAAAACTAATGGCAGCTAGATATAATTTGTCTTTCCTGGATGGTGACCATCACAAATTTACATGTATGAGATTCTACATCCTTCAACCACAGGCAATAAAATATCTGACCTTGCAAGAATCTGAGGCAGCAGAAATCAAACATTATGGAAACAGCTAAAACTCACTGCAGTATGTTTTTGCCCTTGTGTGAATTTCTCTTCTGCAAAGAAAAAAAAAAAAAGGAGATTCCAACCTATATTTTAGCATTTCAGCCTTTAGGTTTTGCTCATCCATAAAGAACAATTTTCTGTATTTTAAACCTTCAAAGTCAATGTCAGGCAAATACGAACAATTCTTAGAGCTACAGAAAGGGAATTTCTTTTTCAGGTGTTTTCTATTTTTAGCCCTGTTACCTAATGATTGCCTTTAACATTTACCTCTCAAATGCTTTTAAGCAACAGTGAGGGAGGTGTCACCTAGTACCACGAGCTCAGTGTCACACAGTACCTACCTAATCCAGGCAGATGAACAACAGTGCCTTATGGGGAAATAACACAAGTGATGGAAATACCTTTGTACACACTGAAAACAGAGTCCACAAAAAACTAATCAGCCATGCTTTTAATAAACTTATTTAATACTTCATTCAGCCAGCCTTCCACTCATTTGTTTCGCACACTGAAATGCACACACTGCAATTTAGTAGTCCTCCTAAATTAGACCTCTCAAACCCATCTGTCTTACTGGCACTCAAGTTTCTTAGATTACACTGCAGGGAGACTCAAGTTTGTCTGCTACCTCAGAATAGTGTCAGACCCAATTAGATAAGGAAAGTGCCATCACAAGATCATGCCACTACAGGATCAAGCAGTTCTAATTCCCACTTGAAGTTACATGGAGGCACACACGTACTTACACCCGCTGCCCACAGAAACCTCAAGAGTGGATTAGGACTTGCAACCATTTACATGAGAGCAGTAATGCCCTTGCTGGCAGTGGAACACACAAAGCAAATTTCCACAGCACATCCAAACCCACACCGTGGGTCTGCAGTTCTGCTACAGGTGTGTTTGCATTTGCCACCTTTCACAGTACTCTTGCAAGGAATTTGTTGAGGACTGCAGAGTGGGTCAAAGAGAACTGCATTTATTTAAACAAGGAAAAGCTGCATAACAACAACAGGTTTGCACCAGGTTAACACACAGAGGGGAAAAGGATGATAATGATAATTTTCCACGAATTAGCCATTCACCAACAGGTGGTTGAAGAAGATGCAGTCTGTCTCACCCAGAAGCGGCTCCTGAGAGCGTGTCTGTCCCTCTCACACGGAGTTTAAGGCACAAGGTATAGACTGGCTCTATACACAGAAGCTACACGTTTTATCGACTGACAACACCCCAGAGCAAGTCACTGCTTACAAATCAGCTCATGGCTTGAAACCGGCTTTAATTATCAGAACTGTTTCCCCACATCAAAATGCTAAGCAAGAACATCGTGTCTCAGGACAGCTGCCAACAGGAAGGATCTTAAAAAAAAAAAAAAAGGAGGGGGGGAGAGACTACAATGCTTAAATAAGCCTAGAGAAGTTGAGCTGCAGCACAGCACTAAGACAAGAGAGCACAGTACTGGGCCTAGTGAGCTTTTTTCTGCCTAATTTTAAACCTCCCTATAGACCTGGTTATTTTATACGTATGTCAAATGAGGGGAGAAATGTGTTTAAGATTTTTTTTCTTACACCACCACTGTATGATGCCAAATTAAAGGAGAGGCAAGTCAAGTTGAATTATTTTAGCTAAATTAAAAACCTGCATTGCTGTCACACACTGAGCACAAGGCCTTGGGATTGCAGACAGCCAGAATTAAGCAAACTTTTCCTGCATCAAGTTAAATGAGTGTGAAGCACTAATATCTGCAACACTGGATACCTGTGACTGTGGTTTTATTGTCTACTGTACCCCCATATCCAAATACCAAGTAAATACAAGCATCCAATTTAACTAGCCTGACAAATGCTGTAGGGACTCCACATTTCCATGTGCATGAGGCACCAAAAGAAACAACAGCAATTTACACCACTGTTTTAAAACCTAATCAGAGTTAAGGCAACTCTCTCCAGTTCAGCACCTAAACAACAATCATTCTCAGAGGTAGGAAGTTTTAAGCTCTGAGCAGGAAACTATCAAAAAGAGATATTCAGCGCTATGTGTTACTTCCATTTTTGCTTTTGCTATTACTTCCTCAGCGCATGTGCCCACCAAAGCTTTGTGGCCATCTTAGAGAGAGCAGCTAATGATGGCAGCTTGAGCACGCACAAGTGAAGTTTACTGGCTTTTGGGGAGGAAGGAGATGCTTGGGCGTTGCTGTCTTTTACAAATGTAGATACTTGAGATGTGCTCCAGCAAAACAGTTG